TTGAACATCGTTACTGCTGTAATTTTGGCATATACATTAAATCTTGAAAATATTGAACACGACTTATAACTCAATGTACATATGTAGATTCTTTTGTAAAAAGGAAACGATGATACAGCTAGTAAATCAAATTAAAACAAATTAAATTCAAATTCACATTCAAATTCAAAAGAAATTTGTGAGTTCCACGCTAAACAAAGAAACACTATAATGGCGGACCCACGTACTCCTTTTTCCATGCACATGCAAACGGACTTTTCACGATCAAGTTTGAAAAGTTTGTTAGGGTTGCGCCAAACTCCTTTACGTAACTGACTGTTACACTTTCCAAATATAGAGCAGTGTTAACGTTTGTTTTTTTAATCATTTAAGGAAAAAAAAACACACCTACTGCTAAAAGTCCAATATACTTATGTAAGAAAATCAAGAAATTTGTAGGGTTTCTAACATTGGCAGGCGACCAATTTGTAACGCAATGTATTAATTAAACTTGTTACTTATTGTCGTTAAGTGTGTGACTCAATACTACTTGTAACTTATAGCTTATAAGTTATAATAATACAGGAAAATAAAAAATGCATAGTCTCTCATCAGCTCCTCAGCTAAATTTCTTTAATGCATTTGGACGGTGCAGATTGGACGCCTCCGAACGATGCACCAGTAAGTTTTTCGCTATAGATTAATTAAATCCGATTAATATTATATACGTTTATATTTCGAGTTTCGTCTAATTACAAAAATATTTAACTATTTTTTTTTATAGTTAAGTATTTATTAGAATTATGAAAGTTAATCCTTGGTTTTTTTTTTCATTTTACGAAAAAAAAAATGTCGATTTTTTTTTTTTTTTTTTTTTGCAATTCAATATTAGAAACATATATGATCATATTTAGCTGATTCTTTTATTATTATTATTATTATTATTTTTTTTTAAACTTTTATAATTGAATATATAAAATTTCAACAACACTTTTTTTACTCGTTGATTTTATAAGATAGGAAAAGAGAAATTTCTCACCGACAATATTTATTTAATTTTCCTAGTGATGTGGAAGATGGGAGGTAAAGAGCATGCAACAACCAATATGGAGTCGTCGTTCCTTGTTCGTCGAAGAAATATACCTAACGCCAGAAAAGGTATCGAAACGTAATCTAAAAGTAATTAATACACTAATAGCTCTTTCTGACTAAATAAAATTAGTGACACTCCATTAGTGACAAGTTTCTAAAGCACCTCTTTATTTTACGTTGTGACTTCACACGTTTTTTATTTTTTTTCAGATTTAATTATTTAATAAATGTACGTATTAATTTCTTAAACACCGAAAAATAGTTTTGAGATGTATATAAATTAAACCAAATTGTTGCAGGTAGAATGAACTTGCCTCGAGTATATCTTCAAAATGACCACTTATTAGAACATGGTTATATATATATATATATATATATATATATATATATATATATATATATATATATATATATATATATATATATATATAATGTTTGATATTAATTGATATTAATACAGGATATGGCGCCTCTTCCTTTGATCAATAAGTCACATGAAATATACGAATCCATTGACTACATTAAAAACATTTTGAGTTCGATGGACGATGGACGAATAAGCGTGTCGCCCTATGACACTGCATGGGTTTCCCTTATCCGAGATTTTCAAGGACGGAATATTCCTCAATTTCCGTCAAGTATCGAATGGATTTCAAATAATCAACTATCTGACGGTTCTTGGGGTGACGAACACTATTTCTTGGCGTACGATCGGTTACTCAATACACTAGCATGTGTAGTTGCATTGCGATACTGGAATGTTCATGGTGACAAGAGTGATCGAGGTACGTAGTTAACCTAATTTTCCGACAACCTTATAAACACTAAATACATAATATTATTTCCTTTCTTGAATATATATATTGTTTTTATTTATTAGGAATATCATTTATTAAAGAGAATATAAGTAAGCTTGGAGATGCGAGCCCGGAGCACATGACATGTGGATTCGAAGTTGTGTTTCCTGCGCTTCTTCAACGAGCTAAAGAATTGAACATCGACGGTATTCCTTATGATGCTCCGGTTATTCAAGATATTTTTGATGTTAGAGATCGAAAGATGAAAAGGTTAGTGCTATATATATCAGCAGATCGAAATTATTATATATATTATATCGCTAATAAATGTGAATGTCGAAAAATTAATATGAATGTATTATTGGACAAAGGGTGCCTAAGGAACTGCTGCATAAGGTACCGACATGCCTATTACACAACTTGGAAGGACTTGGGAATTCGGAATCGCTCGGAAAATTAGAGTGGCCGAAGATTCTTAAGCTGCAAACTCCGAAGGGATCGTTTATTACTTCCCCTGCCGCAACTTGTTACGCGATTATGGAGACTAATGATCAAGATTGCATCGATTTTATTCAATACGTCGTCAATAAATTCAATGGAGGAGGTAAGATTTTATATATATTCCTTTTTAATTGTGTGTGTGTTTGTATGCATGTATCTAAAATAATGTCATATATTCTTTTCATTTTCAGCTCCGACGGTATACCCAGTGGATATATACGCACGACTCTGGGCCGTTGATAGGCTGGAACGCCTCGGAATTTCGCGATTCTTTGAGCCAGAAATCAAGAGTTGTTTGGATCATGTATATAGGTATGTATATATTAATATATTCAAATTGGTAATAATATATTAATTCATGAATTTATGACTAATTTCTCAAGTTGTTGGATTGCAGTTTTTGGACAGAAAAGGGAGTTTTCAGTGCAAGAAATTCAGAATTTTGTGACATTGATGATACATCAATGGGTATCAGACTTCTTAGGTTGCATGGATACAATATTACCCCAAGTACGTGAAATTAATTAAAAATAATAATAAATAAATAAATCTTAATCTTAGGGTTTATGTTTATATATAAGGGAAAATTAAAATGTTGTGACAGATGCATTGAAAACATTCAAGAATGGTGACGAGTTCACATGCTACGTCGGTCAAGGATTCGAGTCACCGTCTCCGATATTTAATCTGTATAGGGCTTCTCAAGTATTATTCCCAGGTGAAACAATTCTTGAAGAAGCCAAACAATTCTCCTATAAATTTCTAAAACAAAGGCTACACAAAAATGAACTTCTTGATAAATGGTTAATCTCCAAACATCTCCCTAATGAGGTAATTAAACTACTATAATTTACGTAAATTAAAATTCTGACCACCGACTTTACGGTAATTACAAAATTAACCGATACTATAATTAATGATTCTTTTAAACAGATAAAGTGTGGTTTGGAAATTCCATGGTATGCCAGCTTGCCTCGACTCGAGACTCGCTTCTATATCGAAAATTACGGTGCAGATGATATATGGATTGGCAAATCATTGTATAGGATGCCGGAAATCAACGAAGAACGATATCTTGAGCTCGGGAAATTAGATTACAACAGATGTCAAGCCCAGCATCAGATGGAATGGAAGCATATGCAGCGGTACTATTTATTTATACATAAAACTTAATTATAAAATTATTATATATATGATCTGCATATAAATGCATATCTTTGAATTTATTAAATCAATTTTCGCAGATGGTACGAACATTCGAATCTTGAAGAATTTGGAGTAAGCAAAAAGGAACTGCTCCTCGCGTTTTTCGTTGCGAGTTCGAGCGTATTTGAACCAGAGAGATACGGAGAAAGAATAGCTTGGGTTAAAACCAATATCCTCTCTAATATTCTTTCAAATCACTATTATTCCCTCGAAGATTCTTCGGAGCAAAGGACTGAATTGTCGACGGAATTAAAAAACAAACAAGGCAGAAAATGGCAAGTCTCGAATATTTTCACACACTTTAGTCCTAACTTCATCGTCGTGTCTTCTTATATTTATTTTTAATATATTCATTTTATTGTTTTCAGGGGATATAGTTACACTAAGGTACATAGACTTATTGCAATCCTACTCGAAACGCTTCAAGAATCCACGACGCATGCACTAGATTGGACTGGCGTAGACGTTAGCCAATCTATTACTTGATCTAGTAAGTTAAACCTTAAATCCCTACAAATACGCACACACACACACCACACACACACGTGTGTGTGTGTGTATATATATATACACGAAGTTCTACTAAGTAATGTCGATATATATGACACGTACAGTGGGGGGCATGGTTAAAGAAGCTAACCGGGGAAGGAGATGATGAAATAGAACAAGTGGAGCTAATTGTCGGAACATTGAATATTTGCGGTGGCCATATTTCGCCTAAAGACGATAAACTATCCCACGATGAATACAGAACTCTCTGTCGACTCAGTAACAAAATATGTCACCAGCTTGCAGAATTTGAAAATAGAAATAAAAAGGTGAGAATTATTATTTAAAGACTTCCAATTTTTTTTAAGCAACTTAAATTTGATATTAATACGTTATACGTAAAATATACGTATAGGTAAACGACGTGGAATGGACGACAAGTGAAATAGACAAGGACATGCAGCTGCTGTTGAAGTTAGTACTACATCCAAACTCGAGCTGCAACTTAAGTAAAGATGTGAAGCAAACATTTTTCGTGGTGGTTAGAGCATTTTATTACAAGGCGTATTTTGCTACCGAGCAAATCGACAGCCATATTTCCAAAGTGCTCTTTCAGGAAGTTGTGTAGTTCTTTAGTTCTCAAAGATAACATGTATACATAAATAATGCATTTGTTGTCAAATGTCAAGAGAAAAATTAAATACTGAGGCCTCGTTTTATTTGGTTGCCAAGATAAAATTAAATAATCTAATTAAACCCAATTGTATCATAAAAAAACATATCTGAAAGGCAAAATAAAATATGATAACATAATATTTGCACGTCGACCCGTCAAGTAATTGGGGATACCAAACCTCAAACAAAGTCCCATTATTTAGTTAATCATGACTTATCGCCCCAAACCAAACAAAAAAACACGGTACGTACTCACAATTATTAATTAATGATTGGAATAGCCATGAGGGGAGGTGACTTGTGAAGGGCAAGCCCAAGAAGCTCTGTTGTGTGGTCTTGCCCTTCTTCTTCAACGAGTTTCCAATCGAAGTTGTGAATTAAAGTTGCCACCATTATATGCAGCATTCGATTCGCTAATGGTATACCGGGGCATATTCTTCTTCCAGCACCAAATGGAATAAGCTCAAAATGTTGCCCCTTAAAATCTATATTATTATTATTATTATTATTATTATTATTATTATTATTATTATTATTATTATTATTATTATTATTATTATTATTATTATTATTATTATTATTATTATTATTATTATTATTATTATTATTATTATTATTATTATTATTATTATTATTACTACTACTACTACCAGTACTTGTAGCAGTAGTGTTGTTTTTGTCCGATAAAAATCTCTCGGGTCGAAAAGATTCGGGATCGGACCAGATAGCGGGGTCCCTCCCCATGGCCCACACGTTAACAAGAACTTGTGTGCCTTTGGGGATTAAATAGCCACTCACTTGCGCATCGTGTTCCGATTTACGTGGAAACAAAAGAGGGCCGGGTGGGTGATATCTAAAGGTTTCTTTTATCACAGCTTGCAAGTATGGGAGTTGAATGATTTCAGATTCGTTTAGGGTTTTGCCGTTATCTTTTGCTACATTTTTTACCTCTTGTTTAACCTTTAACAATATATCGGGATTGAGTAGTAATTCTGTCATAGCCCACTCGACTGTGCTCGCTGTTGTCTCAAATCCTGCCACGAACAAGTCCTAAACAAGGAAAAAAAGTAAACAAGATTAACACATGAAGTACATACACACATACACATGCACGTAGATCTACGGTTCACATCCAGCCAGCGTAAATACGTATAGATCTACGGTTCACATCCAGCCAGCGTAAATACGTACAGATGCATATATGCATTAATTAAGTAATTAATTTGGATTATATATATACCAGAAGGAAATGCTTAATGAGTTCGGTGGTGAAGTGGTACTCATTACTGATTTCTTCCTTGTGTAGATCAAGAAGTGTTTCCATCAAATCGGTCTTCTTCGTCTTCTTGATCTTGTTCGTGGTTCTTGATTCTTCCAATCTCTGATTCATCAAATCATCAATGACCGCAAGCATTTTCCCAAAGTAAATCTGGGCCTTCCGTTTGATTCCCTGCGGATCCAACGGTTGAAGGAGCGGGAAGTAATCCGAGAAATTGGAAACTCCGGCGGTATTCTGAAGACCCACAATGATTTGCCTGAACTCCTCCGTGGCGGCTTTCGAACCGAACGTGGTGAGTTCCGTCGAGAAGAGTGCGACCGACATGAGATTGAGGGTGGTTACGAAGGCGGCTTCTCCGATGTTTACCGCCCGGCCGGCGTTTCTTCTCAAGTATTCGCAAAGTTGATCCAGCTTTTCTCGCCGGAGTGTTTGGCCTGCCTCGAGGCAGGGGTTTGTGAAAAGGTGTTCTTTGCTCAGCTTGCGCAGTGCCCGCCATGACATGTCGATCGGCGATAGGTAAAAACGCCATCGATATCTTATGGTGGTCGTGGGCCTGCATGGCGGCGGGAATCGTTCGGCCGGAGAAATTCTGGTCGTGCTTTTGTAGTATCTCTTTTGCTATCTCCGGCGACGATACAACTATGGTGTATATACTCCCCAGTTTGAGGGACATTAAAGGGCCGTACGTTTTCGATAGTTTGGCCAGTGATTTGTGGGGGTTTTGCCCGATCTGGAAAATGTTTCCGACGATCGGAAATGGTTTTGGCCCCGGCGGAAGATTCCGGTGACTGGGATCCCGCCTTGTGAAAACTAAATAGCTCAAATCGCCACCAGTATACAACTGAACTGCACCGGGAATATTCCATTTTCTACTT